ATAAAATATTATATGGTTTGTAGTGGTATATAAATTATTAAAACACTTCGAACGCCCCAGCGGACAGGTACACTTGAATTCGTCTTTTTCCCAAATCAATTCGTTGTTGGTTTGAATTTTTATTTTGATTTTGATTTTAGATTTTTCTATCCCCAATCAATCCGTGTTGGTTTGAATTTTGTTTTTGAATTTTGATATTTTAGATCGGTTCCAGTTGCTATCGAAACTATTCTTCCCTCCAACCATTTTCAATAAGTAATTTTACAACATTCACTAAGAATTAAAAATGATAGAAGCAAATAATATTAATGATGTGCTGAAGGTGGCTCATGACATCTACTACTCTGACTACAAGACAAAGTTCACAATCGAACATTGCTGGTGTTTGTTAAGGTTTGAACAGAAATGGCTCAATCTCAATACTATCAACACTCCTACTCCTAAAGGCAGAACAAAGAGGAAACCACTAGAAGAAGATTCACAATCAGCAACCAGCAATGTTCAAGATTGTGAGATAAGACATCAAGGTGTCAAGGCTGCAAAGGCTAAAAAGAGTAATGCTCATGGGAAGGCTGTTGCTGAGTATAAAAGCATGTGGGAATTCAAGAAGGAGGAAATGGCTGAAATAGAGATACTACAAAAGCTTTCTATACTTGACACACTACTTGCAAAAAAGGAACTCCTTAGTGAAAGTGATGAAGTTATCAAGGTTAAGATAGTGGCTCAGTATTTCTGAGATTACTTGTCTTAGTATTAGTATTTAAGTTTGCATTTTCTGATTAAGTTTGTTTGGTTATGTTTCTATGTTCTATGAAAATGTACTCGGCTTTTGTTAAACATCATATATATGAAATGTTGTTTGCTTGGTAATTCATTGAATTATTTTTGTGATTGTGAGCCTGAAATGTTGTTTGCTTGATTGTATTATGAACCTTGGTTTTGATTTTGAACTTGCTTTCATTTTGAACTTAATTTCATTCTGAACTTGACATCATTCTGAACTTGATTTCATTCTGAACTTGTATTGTAAATCTATAATATGAGTTTTGTTGTTGTTTTATGAGGTTGAATCAGAGATGGGCCATGACTACAGCTATTCTCAGCCTGACTCCTCAGACAAGTATGATATGCATGACGACAGTGAAGACAAGGAAAGAGAAGTGTTGATTCTTATGGATGAAGCTGAGAGTAGCTTAATCAATGCTTATGCTATTCTCATGGATGAAGCTGAGAGTAATTTTCTCCATGTTCAGACAAGTCAATATCCTCCTCAACCTTTTGGTTTGGCATGGATTTTTTGGAGCTCCAAGTACTATGAACGATCTTAATATTCTAGACTGATCTATTGTTTTGATGACATTATAAACGGTCAAGCTCCGGAAATCAACTTCTTTGTCAACGGAAGAGAGTACAATTTGGCGTCATATATCAATGATGGTATTTATCCGAAATGTGCCACTTTTATTCAATCTATCCGACTTGCACAAGGTAAGAAAAATTCTCTCTTTTCTAAAAAACAAGAAGCTATGCGGAATGATGTTGAGCGTGCCTTTGGAGTCTTGCAAGCTAGATTCGCTGTTATTAAAAATCCATCTCCTTTATGGGATAAAAACAAAATGGCAAATGTTATGAGAGTATGCATAATAGTCCATAATATGATTTAATTTTATTATGATTTAATTATAAAATTCATCTTAAACTTTTTCTATTTAATCAAATGGCAGAGATTAATTATGAAAATATAACAAATTAAAAGGGTAGAACACAAAAGGTACTTCAAAAATGTTAATGAAAGAACCCATCCCATTTTTTTCTTTTAAACATGCAAACCGGATTAACCCAATTAATTCGAACCAGCTAAACCGGCCATAATAATTTAAATCAATTAAACCAAGCAATCTCATTAAAGTAAACCAACAATATTAACCAGCGGAAGACTTAACCAAAAATCCAATAAAACAATTCCATTAAACCAACAAGTTCAACCAAACATTATTCCAAAACATGATCATCCTAACATGTTTCTAAATTCCATTCTAACACCCTAACAAATCCATCAATAATCTAAAACACCAATGAGTGCCTAGATCATCCTCCTCTCCTCGCCATGATTCCACGGATCATACTTTGCTTTTACCTGCATCAAAGAAAGAGATGCATAAGTATTTCATAAATACTTAGTGAGGGCGATCCTCCCATCTACGAGCTATACACACAAGCAATGAGATAACAACCACATATATAACAAAAACAAACCATCCAACAAGCTAAACATCCAATAACACATCCAGTTCACCTACAAATCATCACACAACAAGTCACTCAATCCCAATCGCTTAGATAAGCTCATGGTCACGCACTCACCTTAACAAGGTGATTTGAACTACAAAAACAACCAGGAAAGACTCTCCTCGCGACTGCAACAGCCAAACAACGTCCTACAACAAACCACACAAACAAAAATCTCTAAGAACCAAAAGGACATAAACACCAGAAAAACTACAGCCGCATAAACGAAGCCCTAAAACATAAACCAACCGTTAACTTCTTAATCCCTACGCCGAAAAGAAATATCTAGACGTCACGAAGCTCCCCACAATATTTGGTGCCGATCGGAGAAACGATGAAACCACGATCGCACTTACAAACTCCGTTGATCCCAGTTCGCAACAGAGAAAACGCGTCTCACCAAACTGCATATAACTCACTGAGTATTAATCCGAATTCACTTTTGTAAAAAGGAGAATCAACGTACACGCCTTAAGAACAAACCTACCAAAATTCATTACCTTTCGATAAGATTTGATACGTCGTAACTCTATTATACCAGGACGTGACGAATCTGCTTCTCTCGCCTTAAACACCAAAGCAAAGCCAACACTCTCCTTCTCACAAGTAAACTTCTCCTTCTCCTTTTCTCAACTCAACTCTCAGAAACCACCAACATCACGAACATTTTTTCCGGTAAAATTTTTGCCGGAATCCGGCGTTGACCAGTTTAACCGGCATTGACCAACATAAATATTCAAATTATTTTTTTTTTTAGGTTTTTAATATTTAAAAAATATGTTATTGAATCATTTATAATATTGTATAATAAAAAAATATATACAATTTTTAATTTAAAAATATTATATATATATATATATATATATATATTCAATGCATTGATTTTTATAAATAGTTAGTTTCGATAATTTCAAAACTAAACTAAAAAAATAATAATTAGGAAAAATAATTAAAAACAGAAAATTTTCTTATTTTTAAAAATATCCGGACACGAGTATCATTTGGTTTAATATTCGAATATTTAATATATAATATGTGAATTAAAAATTAAAGCATTATAATCAAACCAATTATGTGTGAATTTTATTCTACTAGTTATAAAAATCGTTAGATCTTCTATCTTATAAATATTAAAAAGAAATATTGTGGTTTTTAATTTATTTTTACGTGTTAATTTTATTTACAATTATTTTACCTAATTGGTTTTTTTAGTTTAGTTTTGAAATTATCGAAACTAACTAATTGTAAAAATCAATGCATTATATATATATATACAAATTATTTTAAAATTGAATATTGTATATATTTTTCTAATTATACAATATTATAAATGTTGTATATATTTTTCTAATTATATAATATTATAAATGATTCAATACCATAAATTTCTAAATATTAAAAAACTAATTTTTCTTTTTGAATATTTATGTTGGTCAACGCCAGTAAACTGGTCAACGCTGGATTCCGGCGAAAAGTGTACCGGAAAATAATGTTCGTGATGTTAGCGACATAACTATAAATAATTTGAATATGTGGGTATGTAATACATATAGTTTGTGTAGTTAGGGATACATTATTAAACTTCAGATGTGTATTGTAACATATTTTGTGTAGCTAGGTATCTTTTTTCCTATTTTAAACAGCCAAAAAGTAAATCAATAATGGTGGATTCTGCTAGAGGCGCTGCTTGGCCAAGCTCTCCAAGGATGGATGCTTAGCACATATGGCATTTTTTGATTGGGCGAAAAATATGTTTTGTAAAAAAGAAAAAATACTCTCCCTTCTTCACTCTCCAACCATTCAGTCAATATTAATTAATTAATTAATGTTAAATATTTTTCTAAGGGATACACGAATGGAGGTGCTCCATCATTATCAATAGGTCCTTAGTTGATTCTTATCTTAATATTAGGTAATTTTTTAATTTAATTTAAAAGAGAAATAATGATTTTTGTTAAGAATGTCTCTTAAATAAGAGGAAAAAATGAGTCTCTTAGCCCTTTAATATTTTAAATAGAATAACAATAGATTTAGAACGTATCCAGTACCAACAAACTAACAACGTTGTATCTAAACCATGTTGGTATATGAAATTTAGTTTGAAAATTATCGTTACAAAATTCCAACAAAATATGTTGTAATATATTCACATATTCACTTAGATGGTCATATTAGTATCGTGGTCTTGTCTCTAGGCTTTTAGTGTTATTAATTATTCCACTTAAATTTATACGGTTCCTTTTAAATTAAAATATATATGTTTTTTTAATACACAAATAGTTAGGCCAGCTTCTTCCTTTTTCAAACTTAAATGTGTGAAAACTATTAATAAATACTAGTTTTCTATTTGTGGAACTACAAGTAATCTGTTTTCTCCTATTCTTTTGAAGTTAGAAAAAAAAATTATGGACAGCAAAAGAAAAGGCATAAAAACAGTTCAAAACACATCACACATACGCATTGTCAAAACTCCTCAATTTAAGGTATGCCACAAACTATAAAAACACGTACAAGCCACTTGTGTAAGTGTATATATACCACTTCTTTGTCTTCACATCACATCACAAAACTAAAGAAAAATCTCTCAGTTTTTTTTTTGTAACTTTTACTCTTCTTGTTCTTTAAGACACTTGAAAAGAGAATAAGGAGAGTTTTATTTTTCTGTCTAAAGAATCCGAGTTTCGTAAAAACTGTTGTTTCTCATCATTTTGTTTCATCATGGCTGCTGATATCTCATGGGACGAAATAAAGAAGGAAAACGTTGATCTTGTAAGTGTTTCTTTTTTTTTTTTATATATAAAAAATATACAAATTATAAACACGTAACATGTTAAAGTTACTAAACCATGCATGCATGCATTACAGGAGAAAATTCCGGTGGACGAAGTGTTCCAACAGCTGAAATGTTCACGGGAAGGTTTGTCATCAGAGGAAGGAAGAAACAGACTCCAAATATTTGGGGCAAACAAGCTAGAAGAGAAAGAAGATAACAAATTTCTAAAGTTCTTAGGTTTTATGTGGAACCCTCTCTCATGGGTAATGGAAGCTGCGGCAATCATGGCAATTGTGTTGGCAAACGGTGGTGGAAGGCCACCGGATTGGCAAGACTTTGTTGGTATCACATGTTTGCTCATCATAAACTCGACCATCAGTTTTATCGAGGAGAACAATGCGGGTAATGCAGCAGCAGCTCTCATGGCCAATCTTGCACCTAAAACAAAGGTATTAAGAGATGGGAGATGGGGAGAGCAAGAAGCTGCGATCCTTGTTCCGGGTGACTTAATCAGCATTAAGTTGGGTGATATTGTTCCCGCGGATGCTCGTCTTCTTGAAGGTGATCCTCTTAAGATTGACCAATCTGCTCTTACCGGTGAATCTCTCCCAGCTACTAAACACCCGGGAGACGAGGTCTTCTCTGGATCCACTTGCAAACAAGGTGAGATTGAGGCTGTTGTCATTGCTACTGGAGTGCATACCTTCTTTGGGAAGGCAGCTCATCTTGTTGACAGTACTAACAATGTTGGCCACTTTCAAAAGGTATGACGATCTCTAATTTATATTTTCTTGCAATGCAAGCAATAGTTTGGTTTATTTCTAATAAGGTTTTTAAATGTTTCAGGTCTTAACCGCCATTGGTAATTTCTGTATCTGTTCAATCGGAATAGGAATGTTGATTGAGGTAATTATAATGTATCCGATCCAACATCGGAAATATAGAGATGGAATCGACAATCTTCTTGTGCTTCTCATCGGTGGAATCCCAATTGCGATGCCCACTGTATTGTCCGTGACAATGGCTATTGGATCACATAGGTTATCTCAACAAGGTGCCATCACCAAACGAATGACCGCCATCGAAGAAATGGCGGGTATGGACGTTCTTTGCAGCGACAAAACCGGGACTCTAACTCTCAACAAACTTACAGTTGACAAGAACTTGATAGAGGTTTTGAGGACAAATCTCTTCATCATCATTTTTTTAATTATTTTGGGTTCTTTTGAATGTTAAAATCTTGTGATTTTTTTTTGTATTGATTAGGTATTCCCCAAAGATGTAGACAAGGATACTGTAATACTACTTTCAGCTAGGGCTTCAAGAATAGAGAACCAAGATGCAATTGATACGTCCATTGTTAACATGTTGGGTGATCCAAAAGAGGCAAGAGCTGGAATAACTGAAGTGCATTTCTTGCCATTCAATCCAGTAGAAAAGCGAACCGCGATCACTTACATTGATAGCAATGGAGAGTGGCATAGATGCAGCAAAGGTGCTCCCGAGCAGATAATTGAACTCTGTGACCTTAAAGGAGAAACAAAGAGACGATCACATGAGATCATTGACAAGTTCGCTGAGCGTGGACTTCGTTCACTCGGGGTTGCACGACAGAAGGTTCCTGAGAAGGACAAAGAAAGCGCAGGAACACCGTGGGAGTTTGTTGGTCTCTTGCCTCTCTTTGACCCTCCAAGACATGACAGTGCAGAAACCATTAGACGAGCTCTTGATCTTGGTGTGAATGTTAAAATGATCACTGGAGACCAATTGGCTATTGGTAAAGAGACAGGTCGTAGGCTTGGAATGGGAACAAACATGTATCCTTCCTCTTCTTTGCTTGAAAACAAAGATGACACCACGGGAGGAGTTCCTGTCGATGAGCTCATCGAGAAGGCTGATGGATTCGCTGGAGTCTTTCCCGGTATATATATAGTTACCATCCTAAGTTTCACTTTTTCTTTTGATCTCACTAATCTAATTCTAAACTTTTCTGATCTTGCGTAGAGCACAAGTATGAGATTGTAAGGAAACTCCAAGAAAGGAAACATATTGTTGGTATGACTGGGGATGGTGTCAACGATGCTCCAGCGCTGAAAAAGGCAGATATCGGTATAGCAGTGGATGATGCAACTGATGCTGCAAGAAGCGCCTCAGATATAGTCTTGACAGAGCCAGGTCTTAGTGTTATAGTTAGCGCTGTGCTCACTAGTCGAGCTATCTTTCAAAGAATGAAGAACTACACAATCTATGCAGTCTCCATTACCATCCGTATAGTCTTAGGCTTCATGCTTGTTGCTCTTATTTGGGAGTTTGACTTTTCTCCTTTCATGGTTCTCATTATTGCAATCCTAAATGATGGAACCATCATGACCATTTCCAAGGATAGAGTCAAGCCTTCTCCAATTCCTGATTCATGGAAACTTAAGGAGATCTTTGCTACTGGTGTTGTTCTTGGAACGTACATGGCTCTCGTCACCGTTGTCTTCTTCTGGCTAGCTCATGACACAACCTTCTTCTCGGTACTCTATACAACACTACTACAATTATTTTACTTATTTACTATATAATCTATAAATAATCTTGGCATTTCTTTGTGTAGGATAAATTTGGAGTGAGGTCATTACAAGGCAAAAACGAAGAGTTAATAGCAGTTTTGTATTTGCAAGTCAGTATAATTAGTCAGGCTCTAATCTTTGTCACTCGATCAAGGAGCTGGTCCTTTGTTGAACGCCCTGGACTTCTTCTTCTTATCGCTTTCTTTGTTGCCCAACTAGTATGTCATTTCTATTCACACATACACATTACTGATATATCTCTGATCTCTACTAAAAAAAACTTTTCTTCTCGTAATAACAGATTGCAACCTTAATAGCTGCATATGCACATTGGGAATTCGCGAGAATCAAAGGATGCGGATGGGGATGGTGTGGAGTCATTTGGATTTACAGTATCGTCACGTACATTCCTCTTGATATCCTCAAGTTTATCACTCGATATACCCTTAGTGGCAAAGCATGGAACAACATGATTGAAAATAGGGTATGTGTGAGATTTAAATCTTGATTCTTGAATAGTATATTATATATATTGACATTGTATTATTCCCCTTGTAATCAAAGACCGCATTCACAACCAAGAAAGACTACGGTAGGGGAGAAAGAGAGGCTCAATGGGCTCTAGCTCAACGTACACTTCACGGACTTAAACCACCGGAGTCAATGTTTGAAGACACGGCAACGTACACTGAGCTCTCTGAGATCGCTGAACAAGCCAAGAAACGTGCAGAAGTTGCTAGGTACGTAAATGATCAGTTGATAACTCGAAAGATCCATACGTAAAAAAACAAAATTAGTGAAAAATGTGTGTTTCTTGTGGTGCATGCAGGCTAAGAGAAGTGCACACTCTCAAAGGCCACGTTGAGTCAGTAGTGAAGCTCAAGGGTCTTGACATTGACAATCTCAACCAACACTACACCGTCTAAGCCAAACTACAAGGACGTTCAATTATTTGACCGGGGACACATGACGACGATCTAAGCAATAAAGTTGGAGAACATGAAATGATAAAGATAAAAAGAAGAAAAAAAGAAAGTTTCGATTTGGATTCTCCTTCAGTTTCAATTTCGTTTTTCTTGGTGAAGACATGATATAATCAGTGGAACGCTTGATAACATGCGAAAAAGCAAAAAAAGAATAAGAAGAAGATGGTAGGATGGATCAATGAGATGGAATAAAGGAAAGAGAAAGACCTATCGTCATGTGATACAGCTCGTATTTGTTACTTATTAGTAAAACAATATTTGTTTTTTTTTTTGTTATAAGCTTTTTCTTATGTTTTTTTTTTTTTAATATAAGAATTTAAATTTGATAATGATAGGAATAAATTTTTTTCAAGAAAAGAATATATTTTGATTCGGCGAGTTTAATTGGTACTAGATTATGGGTCTGTTTTTTTTTTTAATGAGATTCAAATTGTGGAGAAGGAGCAAGTGGGTTAGTGGTTCTCACCTCTGTTTTGCCTTCTCACCAGATCCGGGTTCGAGCCCGGTCCCTCTCAAAGAGAGATTTATAATTTGTATTGATGTCAAAAAAAAAAGAGATTCAAATTGTGAGTTTATATTTTAAAATATAAGTAATGTTATAGTTGGTAGATAAATATCCCCTCTTCATTAAGAGGTAAGTACATTATAAAAAATAATATTATTAAGGGTATGTAATTACATTCAAATGCTATTAGAAATATATGTTTTTAAGAAGAGACTAATAATAGTGGTTAAGGAGAAAAATGTCAAATACTAATTTTTTTCATTTAATAAAATTATAAAAACGAAAATATGTGATTTAAAAAAAATGAATAACCAATCAAAATAAACATATAAGATTTGATATCTAGTTTATCATATTAATTTTTTTTATTAATCATTATATTTCCTTTCATCTATGTATGATTATATTTTAGTGAAAAAAAATCATTCAATCATTTTCATGTCAAATTTTTTTATTAAGTAATAGGTCAAGATTTGAATGCTTATATTTAGTTTCATAATTTTGTTGTTGAAATGTATAACTTTATATACTACAATAAACTATATAATCTTTTAATTTGGAAATATGTAAAAATAGTGAACTTGGTATTTTTTTTAAAATATCATTAACTTTTTATAAAATTGTTTTTAGAAATAATCTAATTTGATCTTTTTAAACAAATATATATAGAATATTTATTGCACGCGATCAGTAAACTGCCATGTATTATATGATAAAATAACTTCTTGATCCTTACAACAGAGGACAAAAATAATTAAAATATAAATAAAAGGGTGAGTTAAAATTTTATACCCAGTTGATTCAAAAATAAAGAATATAGCACTCATATATGTATAATTAGTTCTCTCTCATCAACTTGTATAAGTGGAAAAAAAATCCTTTCGCATCTAACAAATTATTTAGCGGTATAATAACTTATTTATCGACGATACTGTTAATCAAATACATAAGTAAAATCATGTTATAAGTTAGATGAATAAATATTGAATTACCATGATAACAATATACACACACACATATATATATACATATAAGTTTATAATTATATCGTGTTTAATTGTTTTGTATCGCGATAATTTAGGATTTATGTGATAAATTTACAGTTACCGTGTTAACTCATATATTATACCATATACAAAACAATAAGGGAGATTTGCACAACTAACCTTTATTATGATACCCTTTTCTACAAGTACCCTCTCTAGGTGTTCATTTTCAAAAATACCCTCTTCAATGTACAAATGACTAAATTACCCTACTTTATTATAACTCATGATGATAAAAGAAATATTCTTTCCAACAAAAGAATATTCCTTCCGAAAAATTTCCCGCCAAAAATTTTCCCGCCAAAAAAAATTTCCCGCCAAAAGTTTTCCGACAAAAATTTTCCCGCCAAAATTTTTCCGCAATTTCTTAAAAAAACCTTGTAAATATTTATAAATCCCTTAAAAATCCTTTAAAAACCCTTGTAAATCTTTTAAAAGTCATCCAAAACCTTTCAAAACTTGAGTAAACCTTTTAAAACCATTGTAAATCATTTTATAACATTTATAAGCACTTGTAAATCCCTTTAAACCCCTTATAACCGTGATAAATTATTTAATAAAAACTTTTGTAAAGTTCTAAAACTCTTTAAAAACCCTTTTAAATCCTTAAAACCCATTTTAAGGAACTTGTAATACCTTTAAAAACTTTTGTAAACCCTTCAAAAACCTTTGTAAACTTCTAAAACCCTTTAAAACTTCTTGTAAATCCTTTAAAACTATTTTTAAATCTTTGTATGCCTTTAAATATACTTTTAAATCCTTTTAAAAACACTTGTAAATCCTTTTAAAAAACCTTTAAAAATCCTTGTAAATTTTAAAATCCTTTAAAAATTCTTGTAAATCCTTTTAAAACTGTTATAAACTTATAAAAACTTTTAAAACCATTGTAAATCATTTAAAAACCATTGAAAAACCTTTGTAGGCTTCTAAAACTCTTTAAAAACCATTACAAATCTTTTTAAAACCATTTAGAAACTCTTGTAAATCCCTTTAAAAACCCTTTAAAAGACCCTTAAAAAGTTCTTGTAAACTCTTTAAAAAAATTTGGCGGGAAAATTTTTGAGGAAATTTTTTGGCGGGAAAATTTTCTCGGAAAACTTTTTGGCAGGAAAATTTTTCTCGGAAATTTTTTTGGCGGGAAAATTTGTCTCGGAAATTTTTTTGGCGGGAAAATTTGTCTCGGAATTTTTTTTGGTGGGAAAGTTTTTGGCGGGAAATTTTTGGGGAAGAAATTTTTGGAAGGAATATTCAATAGGGGTAAAATAGCCATTAAAAATTAAGAGAGGGCAAAAATGAAAATGGTAAAAAAAAGGGTATTTTTAAAAGAGGGTATCATAAAAAGGTTATTGGTATCAATTTCTCAAACAATAATGAATGTCAACAATAGCAATATCATGTTAAGTAATATTATATAGAGCAATTCTTGGTTTCACCCCCATTGTGAACCTATTTGTTCACCTCTTATTACTATAAACCCTAACCACTATTTTGTCAACCTAAACCAAAATTATTTTTGGGAAAAATGTCATAAAAATCAAAATTATTTTTGGGAAAAATGTCATAAAAACCTAAAATCAAAATTATTTTTGGTATTGAGGATGAGTTGAGGAATCACGGGATGATTTCTAGTCAGTGGCCAGGATAAAGGCAAGGTTGCGGAAGTGGTTTGACAAGCAGGTCGAGGAGTAGACCGTTGGCTTGTTTGGTTTTTGAGTTGGTTTTGGTTGTATCTCTTTTGTATTCTCATTTTGGTGTAATGATTATGACATTGGAGATTAATAAGATGAGTATTTCTTGGATTTGACTTGTTGTGTCATGTGTAAGATAAATATGTGCGAGTTTCTAAAAATAGAAAGTGTCGGGTTTGACGGTTCTATTTTTGGAAAGTCTCGGGGTGGTGGTTAGTATAGCATTGCGATGTTATAAGTGGACCACGGGAGGTATATCTAATCTGGAGATATGCTCGGGGGCGTTTAGACTTATTTGCTCGGGTGTGATGTGATTGTCTCGGATGAGATGTGATAGTCTCGGATGACGATTCGAGAGCACGCTTGAGGGTGACGACCCGAGAGCGAGCGTGTGACTTCCCGGATACCGTAGCTAGAAGGCGGGTGGCCTAATAGTGAGCCGGTATGACTTGAAGGTTGCGACCTGAGAGCGGGGGAAGTGGTGAGGCTTCCTGGATACCGTAGTCTAAGGCTGAGGCCTGAGTACGAGCCGGTATGATCCATGGGTTGCGACCTATGGACGGGGGAGGTGGGTGTGTATGAGCAAATAGGGTCTGGAACGTGAGTATATTGATTAGATAGGGGCCTCGGTGAGGTCAGTTGTATACTGACGGTTGTGTCGGAGGATTCGGGGACGAATCCTAGTTAGTGGGGGAGAATTGTAACGCCCGTGTCTGGAAATCCGGGTGGTGTCGATCGACACTGTGGTTGGGTGTCGATCGACACTATTAATTTTGGTTTGACGGTTTAAGTTTTAAATCGTCGGTTCAATGGAGGCTTGGTTTGGGTTGGTTAACCTAGGTCGTGTTTAAAAGAGGGAAGGTCGTGTGTTGTCTCTTCCCAGCCGCTTTTTAACACTTCCAGAGAGAGAAAAAGGTTCTAGAGCTTCTGAGGGTTTTTGTGAGTCTTTGGTGGTGCTTGGTGGTGTTCTTGGTGGTTTAAGGCTAGTAGAGGCTAGATCCGTGTTGTGTGGTGTTAGAGGAGGCAGATCCTTCCTTGTTCTTCTTTGTTTCGTTGCTGTTCTTCTTGTTTAAAGAGGTGAGTGCGTGACTATGGCTTATCTAAGCGTTAAGATTACATGATTTGGGTTTATGTGACTTGTGAATTGAATCCTTTGTGTTTGTGATGTTTTCTGGTGTTTGTGCGGCCTTATGTGATTGTTATTGGGTTGTGTCATCGTGGGAGGTGATGTGTGGGTGCTATAGGGATTCTTTGGTGGCTAAGATCGTCGTTGGATGCGTTTCAGGGGGTGGGTGTCGACCGACACCAGGAGGGTGTCGATCGTCACCATTCGATTGATCGAAGTGCAGTTTGGTGGTGTCGATCGACACCAGCTTTTGGTGTCGACCGACACCTGTTTTTGGTAGTGTCGACCGACACCAGTTTCTGTGAGCGATAGTTGTGATTTTGATTGCCTGTTTTGGCTGTTTGTGACATTGTTGTTGTATGGATGTGATCTTAAGTGCTTGTGTGTATAGCCCAGTGGATGGGAGGATCGCTTCACTGAGTATTTGTGATAATACTCACGCATCTCATTGTGTTTGTGGTGCAGGTATAGTGTGATCCGTGGAATCATGGCGAGGAGAGGAGGATGATCTAGGGTCTCGGTTGTTATATTTATGAATATGTTAATTGTTGTTGAAACCTGGTTTAGAGGCATGCTAGGTTGCTGGTGTAAATTGTGGTTATTGAATGATTGGTTAATTAATATTATGATGAATTGATGTTGGTTTAATATGTTTCCGCTGTGCATGATGATTTATTGTTGGGTTAATTCGGTTAGGTTAATTAGTAGGTATGGGACTTTTAATTAATGAATTAAAAAAACGGGTCGGGTCTTTTCAATAAAAAACTACATATTTTCTTTAAAAATATTTTAAAATTACTATATTACGATTTATATTGAACTTTGTTATCTTTAATTTAAGCTAAAAAAAATATTTTCGAAAATATTTTATTCACCCTTATGTTTTAGACAATGAAATTGCTCAATGGCATAATACATTCATACATAAATTAAAAATTAAACAAATATAACATATTATAAAATAAAATCATGAATAAAATTATGTATTTAGTTAAACTCAAAATCTAATTTATTTGTAAACTGTAAATCCTAATTCTCCTTTATGAACCCAAACTGAGAAATAACCTTGTTTAATTGTAAAACCTAAATCTCACTCTTCTTTAGTAAACCCAAACCGATAAATAATCTCGTTTAATTATAAAATCTAAACTATAATGCACATTTATAAACTCAACATATAACCCTTATAATTGTAAAACCTACAACTCGCAAAACCAAAAATTAGGTTAATAGTTGAAAGAGAATTTTTGAGAAATACCCCTTTTGGTGTACCCTTTTTTTAAAATAGACCAATTTTCTATCCATTTTAAAAATATCCCTTTTCAAATATGAAAAATTGTAAACTTTTATATAGTTTATAAGGTACATCTAGATCATCATTACTATTGGGAGACTCAATATAAATATTTATAAAGTTTTAAAAAGGTTATAAACGGCATTTATAAGACTTTTATAATTTTTTTTATAAGGTTTACAAAGTTTTTATATGTTTTAAAATAATTTTTAAAAGGTTTTTAAAAGGTATATATATGGTATTTAAAATTTACACACATAGAAAGATAATTTGTGTCTAAATATATAAGCTTACACATTTTTTTTTATAAATATCAAATTTTTTACTTTTTAATTTATAAAAAATACCTTTTTCCATACCACTTTTTAAAAATACCCTTATTTCAAAATTTATTTAAAAAACCACAATAAATGTTGAAATTTATCCAAATATGTGTGTAAACTTATAAATATACACACAAATTACCTTTATATATGTTTAAATTTTTATATATATTTCATAAATTGCATAAAATAACTTATAAATACCTTTTAAAAACCTTTACCTTATAAACCCTTTTAAAAACCACTTAAAAACCTTTTAAAACTTGTAAAAATGATTTAAAATCTTTTAAAACATTATAAAATATTTGTATCAAACTTCCAAGTAGTAGTTCTTATATAGAAGTACCTTATAAACCATATAAAACTTTATAATTTTTCATATTTAAACATGGATATTTTTGAAAATGGATAGATAGAGGAGGTATTTTTGAAAAAGGGTACACAAAAAGGGGTATTTCTCAAAAATTCTCTTTAATTTTTTATAATTATTTTTAATGTTGTTAAAAATTCTATTTTTATCTTAATATTAACAAAATTAGATATAAAATGTTGCGACATCTTATGTTTTTACTTGACACTTATCATGATCACGTGAGTTAGTAAATTTAAAAACCAAGTTTCGACATATAAGCTCGTTTAATTGTTAAACTTAAACCATAATTTTAATTTATAAAGATAAACCATAATTTTTATTTATCATTTATATATCCAAACCAACAAATAACCTGATTTAATTGTAAAATTAAAGTTGAAACCTTAATCCTCTTATGTAAACAAAAACCGCCGTATATTCTTGTTAATTATAAATTTTAAATCCCTATCTTATTAATAAACCAAATTGACATAACTGAAATTAGGTTATTTTTTTAATTTATTAATAATTTTTAATATATAATTCTTTATAATATTTATTTTATATATTTTCTTTTTCGATAGGGTTAATAATATTTCTATTTTATCTAAATATTAACAAAATTAGTTACGACACGTGTCAATATCTTATAGTTTATAATTGACACGTGCGATCTTGTTAATGACTAACTTTGAAAACCAATGTTTATATAATAAGATATAAGATTTAGTCATAGATTTAAATAAATATTACTATTTCGTTACCTTAATATTTTCATATAAATAGGGAGTTTGCCCTATGCAAACTTGCAAAGCATCCAATAATTAATTGAAAAACCACCATCGTGCTTCAACTATTCTTGAAGAGAAACATAACTTGTTCTTCAAGTTAACAGAGATTTTTAAGTGATCGATAATGGCTGATCTAGATCGAGATATCGCCAAAACTCAAGAGGATAGACGGAAGATGGAAGCAGACCTTGCTTCTCCCTCCAACCGTGATGAAGAAGACTCCACTGGTTCCCTTGTGGCTCAGCGGCTTGCGTCTTACACTGCTCCTAGGTCAATTCTCAACGACCTCGCTCGTCCTCACAACAAAGATGAAGACGATGTCGGGTTTAGACCTAGGCAGACTATTGCGGAACGTGAAGGTGATTATAGGAATAGGAGACTTAATCGTGTTCTTTCTCCTGATAGAGTTGCTATGGCCGAGAAGACGCCGGATCCTAGTGAGGAAGAAGAAGCTGCAAAGCATCAGAAAGATTCTTCTTCTTCCAAGAGGAGAAAGAGGTGGGATCTCATTGATGAAGATGGTTCTGCTGCAAAGAAAGCTAAAGCAGCAAGTTCAGATTGGGACTCAACTGATGGTGGCACCCCAAAGCGTCAACGTTCAAGGTGGGACGAAACTCCGGAAACTATGGGGAGTGTTACACCTATGGGTGGGATTCATATGGCTACTCCAACTCCGGGTCAGCTAATTTTCCGTGGTCCGATCGAGGAGAGAAATATACCATTCTCTGATGAAGAGCTTGATGCCATGTTTCCTAAAGATGGATACAAGGTTTTGGATCCGCCTGCTTCATATGTTCCAATAAGAACCCCTGCGAGGAAACTTCAGGCAACCCCGACACCCGTGGCAACTCCTGGCTATGTAATTCCCGAGGAAAACCGCGGGCAACAGTATGATGTGCCGCAAGAAGTTGCTGGTGGTTTGCCGTTTATGAAACTAGAGGATTATCAGTATTTTGGAGCTTTGTTGAATGAAGAGAAGGAAGAAGAGCTATCTCTTGATGAGCAGAAAGAACGCAAGATAATGAAACTGTTGTTAAAGGTTAAAAACGGAACACCTGCGCAGAGGAAAACAGCATTGAGGCAACTAAGTTACAAGGCTCGTGAGTTTGGTGCTGGTCCTTTGTTGAATAAAGTTTTGCCATTGTTCATGAAACCTACTTTGTAAGATCAAGAGAGGTATCTTTTGGCCAAAGTGATTGGTAAAATTCTTTACAAACTTGGTGTGATGGTAAGGCCTTACGTCCACAAAATCCTTGTTGTTATTGAGCCTTTGTTGATTGATGAAGATTATTATGCTCGTAAACAAGGGAGAGAGATTATTATAAACCTTAGCAAAGCAGCTGGTTTAGCCACTATGATTGCAGCTATGTGTCCTGATATTGACAACATTGATGAATATGTGAGGAACACAACAGCGAGAGCTTTTAGTGTTGTGGCTTCAGATCTTGGAGTCCCAGCACTGTTGCCTTTCCTAAAAGTTGTGTGCCGGAGTAAGAAGTCATGGCAGGCACGGCACACTGGAATTAAGATTGTTCAGCAGATTGCTATACTAATTGGCTGTGCCGTGCTACCTCACTTAAGGTCTTTAGTTGATATTATTGAACATGGTCTCAGTGATGAAGACAACAAGGTTAGGACTATTACAGCTTTGTCACTGGCTTCTCTTGCTGAAGCTGCTGCTCCTTATGGTATTAAAAGCTTTGATTCTGTTCTGAAGCCTTTGTGGAAAGGTATTAGGTCGCACCGTGGTAAAGTTTTAGCTTCTTTCTTGAAGGCGATTGGTTTTATCATCTCTTTGATGGATGCTAGATATGCGAGCTACTATACAAAAGAAGTGATGTTTATTTTGATTCGTGAGTTCCAGTCTCCAGATGAAGAGATGAAGATGTCCTCAAGGTGGTGAAACAGTGTGTGAGTACAGAAGGTGTCGAACCGGATTATATCCGCAGTGGTATTCTGCCTGAGTTTTTCAAGCATTTTTGGATTAGGAGAATGGCTCTGGAAAGGAGAAACTACAAGCAGCTTGTTGAGACTACTGTGGAGATTGCAAACAAGGTTGGTGTTGCAGATATTGTGGGAAGAGTTGTTGAAGATCTCAAGGATGAGAGTGAACCATATCGACGTATGGTTATGGAAACTATTGACAAGGTTGTCACAAGCTTAGGAGCATCTGATATTGACGCGAGGTTGGAGGAACTTCTCGTAGATTGCATTCTTTATACTTTCCAAGAACAGACTAGTGACGATGCTAATGTGATGCTTAATGGTTTCAGTGCTGTTGTGAATGCGCTTGGTGAGCGAGTAAAGCCTTATCTTCCCCAGATCTGTGGTACTATTAAGTGGAGGTTAAACAATAAGAGTGCAAAGGTGAGACAACAAGCTGCTGATCTTATTTCTAAAACTGCTGTTATTATGAAACAATGTGGAGAGGAACAGTTGATGGGACATCTTGGTGTTGTCTTGTATGAATATCTTGGAGAAGAGTATCCAGAAGTTTTGGGATCTATTCTTGGAGCTTTGAAAGCTATAGTAAATGTGATTGGTATGACAAAGATGACTCCTCCTATTAAGGATCTTGTTCCAAGACTGACCCCGATTTTAAAGAACAGGCATGAGAAAGTGCAAGAGAATTGTATTGACTTGGTTGGTCGGATTGCAGATCGTGGTGCAGAGTTTGTTCCAGCCAGAGAATGGATGAGAATCTGTTTTGAGCTTCTTGAAATGCTCAAGGCTCATAAGAAAGGTATTCGCCGTGCCACGGTCAACAGTTTCGGGTATATTGCCAAAACTATTGGACCACAAGACGTTCTTGCCACTTTGCTGAACAATATCAAAGTACAAGAACGTCAGAATCGTGTTTGTACTACAGTCGCGATCGCCATTGTTGCTGAAACATGCTCTCCCTTCACAGTCTTACCTGCTTTGATGAATGAGTACCGTGTTCAGGAGCTAAACGTTCAAAACGGTGTTCTGAAATCTCTTTCCTTTCTCTTCGAGTACATTGGAGAAATGGGCAAAGATTACATATATGCAGTCACACCGTTGCTCGAGGACGCTCTCATGGATAGAGATTTGGTTCATAGACAAACTGCTGCTTCAGCCGTGAAACATATGGCCTTAGGTGTAGCAGGTTTGGGATGTGAAGATGCTTTGGTTCACTTACTTAACTTTATTTGGCCTAACATTTTTGAGACATCTCCCCATGTCATTAACGCTGTGATGGAAGCCATTGAAGGGATGGGAATTGCATTAGGTGCAGCTGTAATTCTCAACTTTTGTTTGCAGGGTTTGTTTCATCCGGCTCGTAAAGTCCGCCAAGTTTACTGGAAGATTTACAATTCTCCATACATTGGTGCTCAGGACACACTTGTTGCTGCCTACCCGGTTCTTGAAGATGCGCAGAACAACGTGTATAGCCGACCAGAGTTAACGATGTTTGTGTGAAAGAATCACAATCTTTCTGGATTCTAAGTTACTCTATTACTCTCTCTAGTCTCGTTTAGTGTTTTTGGTTTTGGCTTTATTGCACAAAGGTTTGCTTTGTATAAAAACTCTCAGCTCTTTACTTTTTCTGCAAAACTAGAAAACCTATGCTTACTTTTTGGTGTTTCTTATTGACTCAGTTTCATGTTATTGGTTATGCATTACAGCTTGCAAGGGTCAGGAAATAACGTAGAAATCTTCAAGACTCTAAATAAGCAGAGCCTTTAGATCTTGTCAGCCCTCCAGCAGCGATTGTAGCAGTTTGGCCACACCACCCGACATCCAAGCAACGACACCGAGGTTTGTTAGCTTTTCCACACCAACTACCATATACGTGTTTTTGGGTTCTTCTTATAGATAAGTTTTTGTTTGTTAGCCCCTCAAAAAACCAAGTACCTGCCAAAAAAAAAGAAATTGTGGGTTTCTTAGTGTCGTTTTAAGAATGTAAAATAACACAAATGACTCAGAACTTACCCTGTCACGAAAACAAGGCAAATGGGCTACAATAGCAGGAACTGTTAATTCTAATTTTGTTGTTGTGCAACAGCCACTAGCCCTAGACCAGAGAGAAGATATATAATTCAGTTATAGAGTGATCAAGTATTCAAGAATGCATCATGCCAACAATCTACCGTCAATAAGATAAATTAAGTTTGTTTTGTTTGTGTTAAGCTCACAGTTACATGCCTGAATGCTAAAAGTGAACATGCATAACTGTATATAGTAGCATTAAACTGCTACTTGATATGAGTACTGAGAAAACAGAAGCAATGATGCTCCCGGGATGATAAATAAAAGAAAAAACAGAAACTTGAGATCGATACTCATGAACTGAAGATTCAGCTATATTCTTAACCACCTATGGCATGAAACAAACTGATGAGAAAAAAATTGAAGAAGCAAGTAAAGACAGAACCCAGAACTTTAAGTTTCAGTAATGAATTGTAGGAGCGCAAAAATTGTATGAGAGTTATCCACCACCATCAAGCGCATTCACATTCAATAGTTTCCATAACAGTTTTGATTATTAAATTAAGATTGTAGGAGCGGAAAATTGAATTGAGAAAATATACGAATTTTATTAAGGATAACGATATCATAAACGAATTACAACAACATAAATTTCAATGCGTAAAATAAATCACGGAGGCAAGATATGATATCTTTTCATTAATTCAATAAATCGGTCGTAAGTGCTTTCGGTCTATCACGATTGATAAATCCCATGACACAATCGATCACAAAATAATACTCAAGCACACGAGTAGTAGACTCAAGCGAACTGGATCTACGATATACTCTCGAAACTACTTAAAAATTAAGAACTTACTTTGAACGAAAGAAAGAGAGAGGCGAGATTTTTAGAACTGGGCATATTCCTTGTAAAAAATATTGGCCTAACAATGGTCCAAAAATATTCGGCAAGGCAAGAATTCCCAAGACCCCCAAGAGTCTGCGCCCAGCCCAGCCTTGTTCGGCGCGCGTGTGAAACCTTCCTTTTCTCTTATAACCATTTTTGAAATTAGATGAGAGTGTAACCATATATTAAGGAGTGAAAAACACTCCCCCTTTCAGCCTTTCTGATGTGAGACTTTTTTCCCATCATCCCAAATGGCTCACTTCACACCCTTATTTCTCATTCAATTCAACTATTTTTTTTACATATGTATACCATTTTGTAGTATTTGTTACCAACTTTCCATTGCACTAAACACTTGAAAATTCCGTTCAGCCGTTTGGCTAGAATTTAGCCGGAAAGTTGCTGGAAATTAACTGTCAAAAACCTGCAATTTTTCAGAAACTTATTTTCTGACAATTCAGTTCCAACAAGCTATGTTTTGGCAGGAGTCAAAATATCTATACTATTAAAAGGAGAACACTAATATTTGTTGCCAATAGACTTTAAAAAATATATTAAATTTCATGAAATTCCAACCATTTGCCAAACACACTAATAGACAGCAAAATAATATAATTAAATAAAACATTGTCTATATTTATGGTAATCAAATTAATTTTGTTACCATAAAAATGGTCAATTAAATTCAAAATTTAATATTTGTGAACATATTAATTTAAATTATATATATTATGATATTTTTGGAAACAATAATTTATATTTAATAAATCTATATAAAATAATCATATGTTTAGGAAAAATCAAAATGATTATTTAGGAAAATAAAAAGGATAAATAATATGCTAGATTATGAAATAAGCGACTAATCAAATTCTACATATCATAAAATATGAAATATACAACATAACTGATTATCATCAAATTTATAAAAACTATATAATCTTAAAAAATAATTAACAATGCTTAAATAAAAATCTTAGATAAATCAATAATTTTTTTTTTTTTTTGCTAAAATCATGCAAAACATTTATATAACAAAAAACTCTATATTTTCACATAAAATCTTAGTATTGAAAAAGCAATCTCGCAAATATAGCACAAAAAATTATGAAATATATTCAATAGATATAATATATTTTCGTTTTAATTTTACAAAAAAAAAATCAGATTCAATTGCCATAATAATTAGCAATTGACCTAACCAACCGACAATTATAAAACAAAATATATTGAATTCGATGTTTTTGTTCTTAACTACAATGGGATTTCAAATTTACAAGCTATCCAAAAATAAAATTGAAATTTAATTACATCATAATAGTTTTATCGTCATAAATTCAATATTTTAGTATCTTACTAATTCCTAAATCTAAACAGTTGACAATATTTTCTTATATATATATTATTCAATTTAATTCTCATAACAAACTAATTAAATTTTTTCTAGAATATATATATATATATATATATATATATATATATATATATATCATTAATTATAAAATAACTAATCATATATATAAAAGTAAGGTTTCACTCTCTCCTTATTGGTGGAAAAATATTTAAGGCTTTAATTTTTTTTTTTTTTAATGTTTATGACAATCATTCAATACAAAATTTAATTACACTACAAGTTATAATCAAATGGCAAAGAAAATGAAAGGACTTAATCATATATCATTCAACAAAATAAATAAATAAATGTTTATGACAATCATTCAATACAAAATTTAATAACACTATAAGTTATAATCAAATGGCAAAGAAAATGAAAGGACTTAATCATATATCATACAACAAATTTTATAAGCCTTATTGGTAAAACATTATTTAAAATCATATATATAAAAGTAAGGTTCCACTCTCTTTATTGT